CACGCATGCGCTCATCGTTGCTTCGCCCCAGACTGCTGTTCAGCACCACGGGTGTGTTGCTTCGACGTCTTGCGACGGGAGATCCGGACCTGGTCGGTCTGTCGCACGTCATAGTGGACGAAGTGCACGAACGATCCGTAGACTCTGATTTCTTGCTGTTGGAGCTTCGACGCGTGTTGCAGCGCAACCCTACTCTACGCGTCATTCTCATGAGCGCAACGATCGATCAGCAAGTCTTTTCGGACTACTTTGCGGGCGCACCGTGCGTCGGTATTCCGGGCAGAACCTTTCCAGTGTCGGATCATCATTTGGAAGATCTGATTCGACTTACGCACTACAGACCTTCTGCGCGCAATGTGGGCGCGACGAAACACAAGACGGAAAAGCAAGTGGAAGGGATCAGGAACTCGTTGATGCAGTGCGACTTGGCAGAGAACGATTTGCAAAGCGTGCTGAGCATCGTCGCTTCGCAGCGTATCGATTATGAACTGTTGGCTTGCGCCGTCAAGATGCTGTGCGAGCGCGCGGAAGCTGAGGAACGTGAAGGTGGTGCTGATCACTCTGCTGGCGGAGCGATCCTCATCTTTCTGCCTGGCGTGGGCGAAATTCGGTGAGTGGCCTTCGTCAAACCACACGGCATGCTGCGCGACGTTCATCTCAGGTTGGCACGGGCACAGACAAGCAATTGAAGCCATAAGAAGCGCAATCAGGACCAATGTCGACATCATGCCCTTGCACGCCAATTTGTCTTCGGAGGAACAACATCGAGTTTTCTTGCCTTCTTCTTCCAAAGGCTTGCGCAAGGTGAGCCCACGCAGCGCCTCCACACCAATTCTTCGGCTTCGAATACGAAGCTCACACGCTTTCCACCGTCGCGTCGCAGATCGTCGTCTCTACCAATGTTGCCGAAACGTCGATCACCATCCCGGAGATCAGCTACGTGATCGATAGCGGTCGGGTCAAGGAGACGCGCTTCGAGCCCGAGTCCGGATTGACCCGCTTGGTCGATTGCTGGGCCAGTCGTGCAGCTTGTCGACAAAGACGAGGTCGTGCAGGTCGCACTCGAGCTGGCGAGTGCTGGAAGCTCTTTAGCAAGTACACCGAAGAGAGGCAAATGTCTGCACAACAAACTCCGGAAATTCGTAGAGTACCGCTAGAAAGTCTGTTTCTGCAGGCCAAGGCGATGGATGAGGAGACGGATGTGAAAGATTATCTCGGTCAAGCTATTGATCCGCCAAACGTCGGCAGTATGGATCAGGCGCTCTCGACGCTCATCGAGGTGGGAGCCATTCAGCAAGATCGTGGTTTCAAGAGCAGACTCACTGCGCTCGGCAGACATTTGGTGCGTTCGCGTCGTGCGCTCGGCGAGCGTCGTGTCTGGCTCTGCTTATGCTGATCTTATGCGCGACGACTGGTCGGACCCAGAGCAACCTTCCGCTCGACTTGCGCTTGGGCAAATTGCTCATCCTTGGCTCCGTCTTTCAAGCTCTGGCCCCTATGCTCACCGTAGCGGCCATCATGTCATGCAAGCCCTTGTTTCTGGCACCTTTTGAGAAACGAGAGGAAGCAAATGCGTACGTGCGCGCGTCTGCCATCCCCATGCCTCGCGTGCGTAATGCTCACTACCGCTTCTCTGTCCCGCAATCGTAGAGCACGTTTTCGCTTCGCTACAGCCAATTCGGACCTCTTGACCGATGTCAATGCGTACGACGCCTGGGCCAGGCTGCGCTCAGAAAGAGCTTCCAATGCTGAGATGCGCGATTTCTGCGAGCAGGTGAGCAGGTGGGACGCGGTGCTCGCAGATGTCTGACACTTGACTGACGGGCATGACGCACTCATGACTGTCTGAGCGCAGAATTTCATCTCGCCCTCGTCACTGCGAGACATTCAGAGCGTTAGGATGGATCTGCTCAGTCAACTGCAACAGTTGGGCTTTGTGCCTCGAACGTACGATGCTCGCGCTTATCTGCGCGACGACGGTTCCTTGCACGCTTTGGATCAACACGCTTCCAATCACTCGTTGCTCAGCTCCCTCATCCTTGCTGCTCTCTACCCCTCCGTCATCAGGGTATCTCTACCGTCAGCCAAGTTCGATCAAGGAAGTTCGGGGGCCATACAGCGTGCAGCAGAAGCCAAAGCGCTCAAGTACTTTGACGCAACAGGCAGAGTATTTCTGCACCCCTCCAGCATCCTCTTTTCCTCCAACCACATCCAAGGACATTTGGTCTGCTTCAAAAAGAGCGCTAGCGGAGAGGGACAGAGTAGCAAGACGTATTTGAGGGATGCGACGGATGTGCCTCTTTTTGCCCTGTTGCTCTTTGGCGGCAAGCTGACCATACATCATTTGGCTGGAGGTATAAGCATCGGTTCTCATGCTCTGAAACAGGAAGGCGCAGCAAACGGGTCCGACTCGTCGGCTCGACCGACGCAGGAAATACGTTTGCGAGCCAATGCTAGGATAGGCGTGCTGTGTGGTCAGCTGAGACGTCTTTTGGATGCTGTGAGTCGTCCGACTTTGAAGATGACGATGGTGTCGAAAGCCACTCGAGCTCATGCGCTCGTGCTTGCCTTTACCTATCCAGGTCATGGCTGAAGCGTTCGAGTCGCCTGCGGACGACGGTATAGCTACGGCGGACAAGACGGGCGTCATCGAGACGATGCGAGCGCTTTTAGCACGCGATGGTCTGGAACCAATTTAGGATACAAGAGCGTCTCAAAGCCGGCTCCGAATAAGCTTGCGCTTGTCTCTCCTTCGCTAAGGCTGCTTCTAGCTTCTGCTTCGCATTGCAATGCATCGCAATCATGTGAAGTACTTGTGCTAATGACGACGTGATCCTCCGACATGCTCGCAAGCTTTTGATCTTGGCCTCTTCATCCCCTTCCCGCGCCGCCTCGACCGGCCAACTTCCACGCGGCAAAATCGCTCTCTCCAAACCTAAACATTTGCGTCGTGCCATGATCGCATACGGCCAGAATGAAGTTTCGCCTTCCGCTCTTTAATGGCGGAAAAGGATTTGGCGGGCGAGTGGCGAGGTTCGTATCGCGTTTGTGCTGCTTGTTCGCGGGCAAAGGTGCGCGCGAACAGCCCGGTGGGGCGTGCGACCAAAGATCCACGATGCTTCTCAGCGCAGAGCAGAATTGCGCGAGCAAACGACGCTCCCGTTCATCTTTGCTGCTCTCCTGCTCCAAGAAGCGCGAATTCGACAGGGATGTTCTTTCAGCTTCTTTCTTCTCCCTCTGCAAACGCTTGACCATGCCTTTGCCGTAGCTCTCATCGTTCCTCTTCTTCTCCCTCTGAGCCCGCGTGACCTCCCGCTCATCCTCGACGGGTGCCGTTCCGACGACACTGGCGCTGCCTGCCCCTTTGCCCGGAGCAGCCTTGTTGGATGTAAAGCTGGAAAAGGTCTCGTCAAAGTCCCACACGCTAGGCACGCCCGTCGCTCGAGCGTTCACTATGGATATCCTGTATTCTGGCAAGGGGGGATCGGACCTCTTGAACTGCGTTGCTGGTCTCCAGGCATAGTAGACGATCGGCATCATGGTTTCGCCGACTGCATCCTCGAGCGTGTCGCGTGAAGATGGTCTATCAGGATCGTGGAGCGCACAAGTGACCGACTTGCGCCGGCAAGGCAAAAGTCTGTCGGGACCGGATGGCACGATGCGAAGAGCTGCAAAGACGTCGTCTGTTTGGATGCATCACGGTCGCAGAACGAATTCAGCGATTGTTCAGCTCCGCGAGACGAGAGAGGCAAAATCAGAGCAAGTTGCACGACAGCTCAGCTCACCAAACGATCTCCACACTCGCCCGCCGATGCCCAAAAGGCCCGTTCCCCGCATCAACGAAGCAGTCTCCCGCGCGCTGGCGCTCCAGCCCAACCTTTGCCAAACAGCCCCACACATCCCTGCGATCGCCGAGTATACAATGCTGGTCCCATCCTCCATAAGCTGCAATCCTCGTCGTAGTGGATAGAGCGCAATGTCAAGCAGGCTGACGAGTGGAATCGCGTGCGGATCTGAGCTGGTCGAAGGGCTTGAACGCGCAGCGAGCGGCGAGTCGCTGCTAGAGGCTTGAACTGATCTTGCTGATAAAGCCTGGCTCCTCAGAGCGTCCGAAATATCTGCTCGTTGCACATGGTAACCCAGTCTCTTGAGATAGGCATACACCTTTGAGTCGGGTAGTCAGCAAAGCAGGGACCGGGTCAGCTGTACATTTTCTTTCCTCTAGCGCGTGTTCAGTGCTCACTTGATAGCGATCTCTGCCACCTGCACCTGGCATCATGGTAGCAAAAGCTTGCTGCACGCTCATCGGCACAAAGTTCTGCTGCTCCGCTGCAGGCAATGCTGCCTCTTGAAAGGTTGCTGCGTGATGCTTGACTTTCACTCTGCATTCTAGCGCGCCCCTCTCGACGAGGTAGATGGCCTCTTCGGGAAGCAGCTCGTACCTCGCTCTCAATCTGGGGTAAAAGACTCCCTCTTTCGTCACACCCGCCAGTTTCGGCGCTTCTCGTGCAAAGGTCTGACCTCGATCAGATGCGTCCAGCGAGCTGCACATTTCTGCCATTCTCGCCTCGCACAGATCTTGGTCCTGCCCGTTGGTCAGCACACCCACGCGCCTGGTGATGCCCATGGAAGTGAAGAGCACGCCGCGCACGACTTGCATGACGCATCGATTCAGCGTCGGTTCCCATGTGCCTATCGAGAGCGCTTTGCTGCCAAAAGGGTGACAGTGCAGGGACAGTGCAACGAGGCGGTCATCAGCTCAGTGGACGATCATTCGGTGAGCAGGAGTCGCACAATCTCTTCGATGCACCGCATACATGCGGTCACCTACACCACCACCCACGCACACACACACACACACACACACTCACCTGCCGATCCTCCTCTTACCGCTGATAGCCAACAACATATTGTTCCTGCTCCTCTCCAACGCTCTACGCTGTCCTCCAAATCCCGTTGGCTCAAAATCCTTCTCTCCCCTCTTGGGTATGAAAGCGGAGGCGGAGTCCTGCTCCTGCTCCCGCTCCTGCTGCATCGGCGCATCTTCGCTCCCTGTTGGCGCCATGGGCGATGGGGAAGCGTGGGGCGTGTTGAGGCTAGAAGGGAACAGTTGCTCCTCCTCTCTGATCGCTTTGCGAGCCAATTCGGCCAATGCGGAATAATCCAACGATTCATCCTCCTCCTCCTCCTCTTCCTGTTCTTCCGCTTGAGCTTGAGCTTGAGCTGCTGTGACAGATTGTGAGGATGCTCGACTGGCTCCTCGAAATGGTAGAGGGACGGCGCTGGAGGATGCATGCTGGGCCAATGAGACGCTACCTGTGGCACTTTCGGCTCTTGCTGAGCATGGAGCGGGTGAAGACCGACTGGGAGAGATGGGATGGCCGGAGCTGGACATTGTCCACGGGATCGTCGCTGCGGTGGGGGAATGGGAATGTACGTTGTGTCAGATGCCAGGCTGACCAGGATCGAGTTGGATCGGGGAAAGGCGCGAGGATGCCGATGAGTCGTGAGGGGGATGTGATGTGATGTGATGTGATGTGATGTGATGTGGGCCGTGAGGGTCAGAGTGTGCGAACAGCGTGAGTCGTGACCCTGCTGACTGACTTGCATGTATGGCAGCCATGCAGACAAATTTGGTTGCAGTCACCGCACCGCACCGCACCGCACCGCACCGCACCGCACCCATGGCATATCGTGCGGCAAGTCACGACTCGACTCACACAAAAGTCAAAAGTGCTTGATCTACGCAAGTCCGCGGAGATGACTCGAGTCACGTGTGCAGGCCACCAAAGGCAGACAGACACAAATTCAAGATTTGAGCTTTGATTCAAATTCAAATTCAAATCAAAATTTGATTGCTTCTCATGCACGCGGTGGAGGTGGGAGGTCTGGACGTCGCAGCTTCCACCTCTTTTCCATTACCATCACCATCACCACTAACCCCCGTGTCTCATTTGGGACTGCATCACCTGCGATCTGCCAACGTTTATACAATCAGGCGCAAGGATGGCACGGTTGGAGGAAGTGCCGGCAAAGGCGGAGCGACAGACGTCATCCTCCACCGCTTCCACCTCATCCAAGCCGAATCGCGTGCCCCATGGGTCTCACAACCCGCACTTGTCTTCCGTAGCGTCCGCGCATGCAGACGGGCAGGAGCATCATACGGCGGCAGGACCCAAAGCGGTACAAAGGGACTTGAAGAGTCATATGCAAGGATTCGATGAGATGCCGCTGTTCATGAGGCAGGTCAAGGGGGATGCGCAGGGCGAGGATGAGAACACTGCGCTGGAAGCGCTCAAGAGTCTCGCCTTTGATGGGGAGCCGGATGGTGAGTGACGTGTGTGTGTATGCGTGTGCGCATCCTTACGCCTCGCACGCTGCTTCTGATTACGAATCTTCTCGCTTGTGCATGCAGAGATTGCGCAGAACTTTAAATCGCAAGGGACAGACTATTTCAAGGGAAAGAGGTTCAGGGAAGCGGCGGGATTCTTTACGCAGGCGTTGGACGCGAACCCGACGGATGCGTCGCTCAAGGAAGCGTGCTTGGGAAATCGAGCGGCTTGCAACCTCGAGCTTGGTGGGTCATGCATCCCCTTCCCGCACGCCGTGCTGTCTGTCACTCACCAGACCATGCACACCCCCCGTGTATGCTCCCAGAGAATTACGGAGCAGTCTTGCGGGACACTTCGGCAATCCTCTCTCTCAACCCACGCAATTCCAAAGCTTTTTATCGCGCTTCCCGCGCGCTGCTCCAACTGGATCGGACAACCGAAGCTGCAGATTGCTGCGACCACGCGCTGGCCCTTGGAGTGGAGAGCGAAAAGGCGGGACTGAATGCTTTGAGGGAAAAGATTGTGAAGAGGGATGAAAGCAGAAAGAGAAGGGAGAATGAGAAGAAGGAGAGGGAGAGGAGGGAAAAGTTGGGCAGGGAAGCGCTTCTGAAGGGTTTCCTGGTGAGTTTCGAAAGGCGTGAGGCGCAATGTGCTCTCTTTCGCGTCTTGTTTGGCCACAGACGATGATGTTGTTGTGAAACTGATTGTGGGGGGTGTTTGTTCTGCTACAGGCTCGAGGCTTGTGGATCGAGACATCCTCTCGGCCGCCCGACAATCCGCATCCGGCCCACTTTGATCTCGAAGCCCTGCCGTCGAGTTGCGCGCCTCTTGTCACATCCAACGGCGAAGCCAATACCGCCTACCAGCCACCCGACTTTATCCGTACGCCCATCATCTTCCCCGTCTTTCTGCTCTATCCGGCAGAAGAGAGGAGCGACTTTATCTCTGATTACCAAGAAGATGTGCCGCTGGGGGAATATTTGGATCGCATGTTCCCGCCAGGTGGCGAAGCGCTACCATGGGATAGCTCGGGCGAGTATAGGACGGATAATTTGAGGGTGTATGCGAGCACAAAGGCGAAACGGTTGTTCAAGATTGGAAGAGGGAGAAGTTTGAGAGAGATGATTGATTTGACTGCGAGAGAGCAAGACGCGCAAAAGAAGGTGGAGAGGGACGGGATGATCTTGCGCGATGGCATCATCTCCCTCATCGTCTTGCCTGCTGGTGAAAAGGAAAGCAAATGGGTGGAGAAATTCAAAAGGGAAAGGGATCATCAGCCTACGGGTGGCGATTAGGTCGATCGCAATGGTGTGCTCGATGCGCATGCGCATGCCAATGGTCCGGGGGGAGTGTATCAATGCATAGGTCCCTGTCGTCGAATGCGGGGCCTGCGCGGCCTTGCGTGTATGTGAGCTTGAAGAGTCTTCACTTTCTCTTTGTTCGATGCGCCCCCAGCTCCGCGCGACAGATGGTTACAGGCTATACCGGTACTCAAGACTGGCGTGCTGCGAGAAGGGACACACTTTCCCCAAAGACACAACAACGGGTTGATTTTGCAGCCAGCCAGCGGGCGCTAGGGGATCTTCATTGTTGCTACTCACGTGACTGTATCGGCTATCGTTGCGGAGCCGACGAGCCTTTCGATGAGCAGTCAAAGTGAGCACCCTCGAGTCTCGACGATTTCAGCGCGACGCGCGCGACCCACGACTTGAGGCGCGAGCAAGCTGTCTACGGGAGAGCGACGCAACGCAACGCAACGCGATGCGGGCTGCGTCGAGCGAACACGCTGATTGATGATTGATGATGCTGATGCTGATGAGTGATGAGTGATGGCACTGCCACCCACGCCGGTCACGAACGTGGTGGTGCATCGTGGCGCGCCTGCCGCGCCATCATCCGTGCGTGGGCGAAGGCAAAACTCATCCGCGCCGCGACGCGACGCGACGCGTAAAGAGCCCACAGAGTTACCGGTACGCGCGGTGCAGGACGCGTTCGTCGGTCGACTTTCGCTCATGCATCATCAGCGTGCACACGGCCCACGGCTACGCGCGTGTTCAGCGACCAACACGCGTACCAGACGCGCTTCTTGGCTCGCGACTGAGTTAGTTGCACCTTTGACTTGCACCTTCCGTCTCTTCTCTCTCGACCCAAAGCTCAGCGATCCCTCATCCAATTGCACATCTTCTTCGTCCCTTACGTCTTCAAAGCTTGAATCTCATCTCAACGCGACGGGTGGCGCGGCCGCGCTAAGCACGAGTATACAAACTGTATCCCTACGGACTGCACCACCATGAGCAGCAGAAAGGCCGCAGCTAGATCCGCCTTGGCTAGACTCAAGGCAAAGAGAGAGGGTGGTGGTGGTGGTGGTGGTGGTGGAGCGACCAGTAGCAAGGTTTCGGATGGCGTGAGTAGAGAGAGAGGATGAGATGCTGTTCGATGACACCGCATACAAGCTGCACTGACGCGCCATCCGCTCTCACATCCCCCCCTCAGTCCGACTCTGATCGCGTGTACGATGAGGTGTCAGAGGATGAGTATGCTAGCGCGGTTCGCGGTCGCATGATGGAGGATGATTTCATCGAAGATGACGATGGAGGCGGCTACATGGATGATGGACGCGACGTGTTTGAGAACGAGGAGGGAGGCGCATACGAGTCGGATACGGAGGATGAGGCTGAATACTACGAGAGGACTGGCAGGCGCAAGCCCAAAAAGGGCACAAAGGCTGCTGCTGCCGCCAATGCCGCGGCCAAGAAGACATCCGTCGCATCCGCATACACCAATCAAGCTGCTTCTGCTCGGAAAAAGCCAGCACGACCCACGCTCGGCGCTCGCTCTGCCTTTCTGGGTGACAGCAGTAGCAGCAGGCCTGCCATGCGCACGACTGAAAAGGAGGAAGACTTTATGCAAAGGCTCATCGGCGGCCTTCAACCCGGCAACGAGCCCCCGACTCCCAGTCCTGCTTCCAGAGTGTCCCTCGCCCCCCCTCAGCAACCGCATCATCAGGCTCGCAAGCGTCCTAGGGGCGACTTTAGCGCATTCCGCCCCAGCTCTGCTGCGCGAGAGAGCAGCCCTAGCAGCGGGGCTCCTTCATCAGATCCACCCGAGCTGGCAGATCTAATGCCCGGAGCTCATGTGCACATCTCTGGCAGCGACTCTCCCCCTTGGGACACGGCTGCCAACGAGGATCAAGAGCATCACGGCTTGCCCGCTCACAAACGCCCAAAATCCACCAAGGCAACTGCAGGACTGCCTCAGTCTGTCAACGCCATCTCTCTGCACGTGCAGGCCGCGCCAGCCATGATGGACGTCGATGGAGATGCAGAAGATGAAGATGACGATGACGGGTTCTCTATCAGGACCAACAAGGCTGGCGCGAGGGCACCCATCGTGAATGTAGCTGCCAAGCGGGCACTTGCGACTCCGCCCAGCAGACCCGTGGCACCCCACGTAGCGCACCTCGACGAGCCTCAGCCCCCTTCCACGCCCCACACTTCTTGGCAAAATGTCGGAGCGAAGCTCAGCAAGGTCACCTCTGCGCCTGCCCCCGAAACGCCAGCGCCGAGTCGACCAGCAGTTGCGGCTCGAGGCAAGAGCAGCGCGGCAGTGCCAAGCACGCCAGCTACACCTGCATCCACCAAGACTATCAATGCTTTCGAGAGCGATGGCAGGAGTGTACGCTTCTACTGGTTGGACTGGGTCGAGCAACAAGGCAGCGTCTTCTTGACGGGCAAAGTCAAGAATCGCGATACGGGCAAGTGCGTCAGCGCTACGCTGGATGTGCAAGGCGTGGAGCGTTGCGTCTATCTGCTGCCCAAGGTGAAGCTTGACGGTACTCGCTGCGACGAGGACGAGGTGTACGACGAATTCGACAATATGCGAAGCAAGTACGGTATCAAGAACTTCCTTGCCAAGTGGGTCACGCGCAAGTACGCGTTCGAGGTGCCTGGCGTGCCCGTAGAGACGGAGTACCTCAAGATCAAGTATGGCTTTGACGAGCCAGAGCTTCCAGCGGATATCTCTGGTGCGACGTTTAGCCGCGCTTTTGGCACCGCGACAAACGCATTCGAGCTGTTCGTCGTCAAGCGAGGCATCATGGGTCCCTGCTGGCTGAATGTGCGAGATGCTCAAATTCGCACAGATGGACCCGAGCTCAGCTGGACGAAGATCGAATTCCAAGTGGATGAGCCAAAGTCGGTCAGCCCTTTCAAAGATGACGACGAGACTGCACCTCGCGAAGCACCTCCCGTCACCGTCATGAGCTTGGCTGGCAGGACAGTGATGAATCACGAAGCGAATAAGAGGGAAGTTGTCTGCGTTTCTGCGCAGACTTGGCGGGATATGCAGCTGGAGGACCCAACACCGCCCGAAGAGCTCGAGAGCAATCTGTTCACTGTGGTCAGACCGCTGGGCGAAAGGTTTCCCAACGGCTTCGAAGCAGAAGCCAAAGCTGGGCGGACGCGCATCATGGCCGTCAAGTACGAACGGATGCTCTTGAACCAATTGCTGGCTCAAATTCACCTGCAGGACCCGGACATTATCGTATCTCACGAATTTTCTGGCGTCTTTCTAGACGTCCTCCTCAAGCGCATCGCAGAGCTCAAGGCGGACCACTGGTCCCGCATCGGCCGGTTCAGAAAAGCACGCATGCCCACCATTCGTGCAGGATACAAGCTGGCTTTGGTAGCTGGAAGATTGGTGTGCGACCTGGCCAGCGAAACCGCCAAAGGCATCATCCCCTCCGTCACTTGGTCCTTGACCGAGATGTGCGCCACCCATCTGAAGACGCAAAGGGAGGATGTGGATCCGGACGAGACGGCTGCTTTCTTCGATTCGTTGGCACCGTCACCTGCTCGACTGCTCACTTTTGTGAGACATTGCGAGGTGGACGCCTTCCTGCAGATGGCGCTCGCTTGCAAGGTGCAGATCCTGGCGCTCACAAAGCAGCTCACTAACCTGGCTGGTAATTCTTGGGCCAGGTGTCTCAATGGAGGTCGCGCAGAGCGCAACGACTACATTTTGCTGCACGACTTTCATCGGCACAAGTACATCTGTCCGGATAAGCCTGCGTTTTCGTCCAGCTGGGAGAAGAAAAAAGCTGCGGCGAAGGCCGATCATGACGGGGCGGCTGGAGAGGGCGAGGAGGAGGCGAATGCTGGCAAAGTCGCCTCGAAGCAGCAAAAGTTCAAGGGAGGTCTGGTCTTTGAGCCCAAGCGGGGTTTGTACGACAAGTACATTCTGGTCATGGACTTCAACTCTCTGTACCCTTCCATCATCCAAGAGTACAACATCGACTTTACGACGGTCGATCGGGCTGCCTGCAATGCGAACCTGGCGGATGTGGACCAGTTGCCCGAGCTGCCTTCCTCAGACGTGGCTCAGGGCGTTCTTCCTCGGCTCATCGCGACTCTCGTTGCTCGTCGGCGTGGGGTCAAGAGTCTCATGAAAGACACTCGCGCAAGCCCAGCCCAACAGCTTCAGTGGAATATCAAGCAACTGGCTCTCAAGCTCACGGCCAACTCGATGTACGGCTGTCTCGGCTTCGACATGAGCCGATTCTACGCTCGGCCGTTGGCTGCTTTGACCACTTTCAAAGGTCGAGAGGTGCTGATGGCGACCAAGGAGCTGGCAGAGTCTCTATCCCTAGACGTCATCTACGGAGACACTGACTCGGTCATGATCAACACGAACGCGACGGATCTGGCACAAGCTATGCGTATCGGTGCAGAGTTTAGGAAAAAGGTCAATGAGAGGTACCGTCTGCTCGAGATCGACATTGATGGCGTCTTTCAGCGCATGCTGCTCGTTCAGAAGAAAAAGTATGCCGCTATCAAGGTGGAGGATAATGGTGCCAAGACGAGCACGGAGGTCAAGGGGCTGGATCAGAAGCGGAGAGAGTACTGCGCACTCGCAAAAAATGTTTCCAAGTGAGTGTGGAGAAGCCGGCTGTTGGATATGTTTGGTGGGCTGACATCCTCTCGCCTCGTCTTGCAGCTACGTCCTGGAGCAAATTCTGTCGGGCGAGGCAACCGAGACGGTCGTTGCCAAGATCCATGAATACCTCTGCCAGATTGGAGATGAGGTACGCGAATCCAAGATAGATCTGGAAGACTATATCATCTACAAGCAACTAGGCAAGAATCCCTCCGAGTACAATCCTAGCGTTGCCCTGCCTCACGTCAAGGTTGCGTTGCGAGCAATCGAAAAGGGTGAGAGCGCACGTGCAGGAGACGTCATTCCCTACGTGTTCTGTCTCGGGGAAGACGGGTCGAGCGCGTCCAAATCTGCGCAAGCCGATCGAGCTTTTAGTCCCAACGATCTCAGAAGGCAAGGCTCGACGCTAAAGATCGACTTTGAGCACTACTTGGCTCTCCAGCTATTGCCGCCAATCGAAAGGCTGTGCGAGAATATTGAAGGCACAGATCGAATGCGTCTAGCAGAGTGCCTTGGTCTCGATGCCTCTCGCTACGCCTCGCACACCACCTCTGCTGCTGAGAGCGGAGCAGGCAGGGAATTTAGCACCCTGGACAGCCAAGTTCCAGACGAAGTCAAGTTTGCCTCTTGCGAAGCGCTCCGATTCAAGTGCTCCAGTTGCGGTCAACATTCTACCTTTGAAGGCTTGATGGCTTGCAACGGCATGCTGCAACGCACGGGCATCGCGTGCACGCACGAAAGCTGCTGCGCACCCTTTGGCCTGGCAAGCCTGGCTATACAGTTGGAGCAACAGATCAGGCAGTACATTGCGCGCTTCTACGAGGGTTGGAGCGTCTGCACCGAACCGACTTGCGGCGCCGTCACTCGATTGGCTGGAGTGTATGCGCGAAGATGTTTAGTGTCGGGATGTCGTGGCAAGACGGAGCTGAGGTACAGCGATAAGGCGCTATACACTCAGCTGTGCTTCTTGTCCTCCTTGTTCGATGCGGACAGGTGTCGCGAAAACTCCAAAGGTCGTGCAAATCATGCCGATGTCGTCGCTTGCTCCACGGTCAGTGCCAAGCAGCTCGCGCATCTATACAGCATCGTCGACAAGTACCTCCAGCGGTCGGGCAGGCGCTTTGTTGGCTTGGAGAAGCTCTTCCGCTCTCTGTATGTCCGCAGCTCGTGATCACGTACCAGGCATCCTTGCCTACCAGGCATCCTTTCCCGCGCGCGCGATTTATACAATCTGCTGTTGCTTTGGCAAGACTCAGCAAATGCATTACTATCATCATCATCATCATCATCAGAATACGCATCGATGGCATCGCGAGCGGTCAAGCAAGAGGGTACTCGAATTGATTCGGAGCGTGCGATTCTGTGATGTGATTGCGGTCTAGTAGGGGGTGGGGTGGCAGGGAGAAGAAGACGCAGAGTGTCCTCAAGGCAACTTGCAAGAGAAGCTCTTGTAAGCATCCTTGCCGTTCGTCGGTCCGCCATTGTACACGACGCGACCTGGGTAGGGGCAAAGTGGGCGGGTAAACAGCACACCGTACTCGTAGCTGGCAAAGACGGTGGGCAACTGCAAAAAACAAAAGTGGTTTTGGCGCGGAGGGGGATCTGAATATCAGCGTTGCCTTTGTTTTTACGCGCAAACTCATTGCTACAGGGCCCTCACTCACCAGCATAGTGTCGGTGTAGGGGTTTTTCAGCTTCTTTTCCTTCTTGTCGCCGGTGGCGGGAGTTGCGTCGCTGGTCGATCCGGCAGGCTTATCTGAACCAGCATCAGCAGCGCTTGTACCCGCATCCGTCGTCTTGCTATTGCCTCCAGACTTCTCTGATCCGGCTCCCGTATCAGCAGTCTTTTCAGTCGTCTTTTCGTCGCCGCCATTGTCAGCATTGAGAGTCTCTCCCTTTGTCTTCTTTTCGGCGTCTCGAAGAGTGCTCGCAGTGGAAGTTTGACGACGCAAAAGGGCTTCAAGGGCGCGACGAGTGCTTGTAGTGCCGCCGCCGCCGCCATTAGCCGCCGTCGTGGGCTTGTCGGTAGGAAGGGCGGTGAGGGCGCCGGGGCTATCCTTCTTCTTTTCGCAAGTCGGGTCGCTGCTGCTGCTGCGGTTCAGATCGTCGTTGCTGGGCGGGATGATCCTACCGCGTTGGTGGTACGCTGCGCCGATCTGTTTATGCACCCCCCGCACGCATTCGTGTCAATATTCCAAAACCAAAGCAGGGCTTTTGTTGTTGATATCTCACTAAGACTCACTTGATACTTTGGCGCGTCTCCAGTCTCGACCCATTTGACGAGGGAGAGCAAAATGTCGTGCTCGCTGTCCCACTGCGAACGTGGTCAAGGTAGAGATCAGACTGGGCTCTTCGACCGTGGATGGCAAGCACGACGGACGCACCTTCAATGGACGATTACCAGCATCATTGGCAGTGATCTGACCGTAGTGCCAAGGACCTCTGCCATCACGAACATGGGACATGCCAGCAACTTCAAAGTAGAGGTAGCCGTCCTGGGCAACGATGCCTTTGGAGCCGACCGTCTTGAGGACCTGCTGGTAATATCGCTCGCTCGCAAGAGGACTAATGGTGATATCGGCCAGACCATGCGTGTGAATCATCTTTTTGCCCGCTTTGAGGAACCTGGACAGGTCAGGGTCATCGTTATTGACGCCTCCTGGGTCCTCTGCACGACCCTTTTCCACCACTTCAAAAGTGTAGTCGGAGCCTGTGGCGTTGATGCCCACGCCGTAACCGTCCCAGCACGGGTCGAGGTGGGGGAACTTGAGGATGGCGAGCTGAGTCCAGTCCACTGCTTTCTTGGCAGCTCCAGTCAGACTGTCGACGCGCTGCTCGATGCCCGGCAGGTAGCGATCGTAGACGAATTTTCCCTCGACAAAAGTTGGACGGTAGAGCTCGTAGAGATTGTCGATTTGCGTCTGGTTCAGGCAAGTCTTGATGTCGCCTCCGAATTTGGCGCCTGGCGCTCCGCACAACAGATCCTTTTCAAAGACCGGCTTGCACTCCTTGGCCAACTCGATGACACCGTCCTTGACACCGTCGAGCTTGTCGCACTGGTCCAAAATCACCTCCTTGACCGGACCAGCCAGCTTTCGCACGCTGAACCATCCATCCTTGGCAGTTTTTTTGCGGTGTCGAGATTGAGTGTGGATCTGAAGAGGGAGCGAGTGGGAGTGGCTGATGTGAGCGGAGAAAGGCGTGCAGCAGAGCCATGCCCACGACGAAGCCCCACGTACCTGGCCTCTATTCATATCGCTAAAGTAGATGGCAGGCGAAAGGGTGAGGATGCCGTCAAAGTCTTCGGGGTAGACTTGAGCGCTGGCCAGCACGCGTCCACCACCGACGGACGCGCCGGCAGCGTAAGCGCGAATTCGACCACCACCACCACCACCACCAGCAGCAGCAGCAGCAGCAGCATTAGCAGCTTTGTTCTTGCTGTTGCCGTCCTGCTGCACGCGCACACCGCTTTCGGGACCGTAAAAGGCGTCGATGACTTGTTCGGCGAGAATTTTGCTGACGTGCGTGCTGCGACTTCCAAAGTCGAGCAGCGTGTCGTCGTACTGCGTACCATTGACCCAATTGCAGCCGCCGGCGGTGGAAAAGTGACCAGTGTTGGTGCCAACGACGGCAAAACGGTGACGGCTCATTTGCTGCTTCAGATCGGTCAAGGGCACAAAGCCGCGCTGACCGCCGTTGCCGATGAACAGCATTCGACCGTTCCACCCGTCAGAGCAGCCCAGCAGCTCTTCGCCGCTCAGAGGCTCGCCACGATGCTTCTTGCTCGCAGCACTGCCACCAAACTTGTTCTTCTCCGAACACTTGGCAGTCTCGATGCTGCGACGGTCGTGATTGCATGCTCCGGACTCGCGACGATGAATCATGGAGCTGGAACGGCTGTTGATCTGCTGCAGCTGCTCCTTCTTCTTCTTGGAGCCTGACGCGTCATCAGCGTCGGGGGAGAAGTTGTCGGAATATTTGAACGGCTTGCCTCCAATATGACCCTCAACGCTAGTCTCTGACTGCAATCCGCCCTGCTTCTCACCGGCATTGGTGCTGGTCGTGGTGATCGTGGGAGCTCCTTCATTCTGAGCAGTGATTTGCGTCGTGCTGCCAGACTCTTTCGAGCTCAAAGGCTTTTCCGACTCCCTCGTGCCCTCGGTCGTCGCGGTCGTCTTTTTCTCCTCCTTTTTGTCTCCCGTGCTAAAGAAGCCAGGCGGTGGCACCCCCTTGGTGGCCCTGGTCGAAGGAGTGTCGACTAGAGAATCCTCGGGATCCTCGGAGATGACTTCCTCATAGTCTCCTTCCAGAAGGTAAGCCGGACCCTTGAGGAATTCGCCGTTAGGTCCCAGCTCGATGGGCGTCGAGTCTGATTCGTGAGGCCATCGGCAAGGTCAGCATGCGCGCGCATCGCAACCAAGCCGATGCAGCAAAATGTCTTCTCACCAGTCGGATAGTCTGTCTGGTTGATCGCCGCAAGAGCGATGGAGGGATCATCGGCCAAGGCTGCAATGCGAATGCGAATGCGAACGCGAATGCGAATGCGAATGCCACACCCAGAATCCGTGTCAGCGTGGAAATGAGGCGCGCGCGCGCGCGGGCATTCCTTGTTCGACTTTTGACCCTCGACTCAGACTCACGCAGCCAGACCTCTGTCAGGGCAATGGTCACGGGACTGGTGATGATGTAGGCGCCAAAGCGGCAGAATGCGGGCAAGCCACCAAGAGGACCGTTGTTTGCAGCTCTGGCTCCAGCGCCGCCGCTTTTTCCGTAACCTGGCCCGCGGGCGACGAAGCAAGAATGGTTGGTGCATGGGGGTCAAATGCACGCTCTCCAAATAGGCAAGTCATAAAGAAGGGGGGGCGTCCATCTGTGCCGCATGCAACTCAGACTCACCAAAATCCTTGGTAATGTCAATGTCTGGTCCGACGCTCTCGAGGATAGGTCCGACTCTGACGCTCTTGGGAATCGTGCCTGCAGGGTACAGTTGGGTAAGGAGCTCCAAGCTGGGATTGCTTCCCGTGGGATAGTATTGAGCAAAGGTATTGTTGATCTTCAAGCTGGTCACATTGGCAATCGTCGTCTCGAGCGCTTTGCAGAGCGCCTCTGCATCTTTGCCTGCCGTGTAGGCATACTTTGCAGCAGAAGCAGAAGCAGCAGCAGCGTCTTGCGTCTTGATAGGCGCGCTTGCCGTGTCGGCACGCACGAGAGTAGCGGCGAAGCCGAGAAGAAGCGAGATCGCGCAGCTCGGCTTCAACGAGCGCATGACGATCATGGAGAGGAGGGGGGAGGTGGGGGGAAGAGGAGGTCGCTGGAGATGGCAATGAGGGGAGGGGCGTGAGGGTGGATGGATGAGAAAAAGTGGCGAGGGGTAGAGTAAAGTAGGAGCAGCGTTGCTGACTTTTATATGTACTCGACAGCGAGCGGCCAAGGCCGGGGAAGATGAAGGCGGCAGAGGTGCGCAGCGCTGGCCAATGACGAACGATGCTTGGCGCCCGAGTAGAATGCTTGCGTGGCTGCAACGAATGAGCAATCAGCGCCGCCGTGATTGCCGGGATGGGTAGTGGATGGGTGTATGGGTGGAAAGCACTGCTTGTATGCGCAGACTCGAGCGACGTCGTGATTCAGGCTGTGATGATGCGTGAGGAGGAAAGTTTCTGCGCGATGTGCACAGAAGCACTCACACTTGTAGAAGACGAAGACGAGATGGAAGCTGCAAGATCTGGTCGCCCAGCTGTGCGGCGTGCGCGCTCCTGCAATCGTGAATCACTGAATGCGTCACGAGCGATTGTGTGTACAAAAGGCCTGGTTGAAGGATTTCAATTGGCTACTACTCACCACTACTGCCAAGCTGCTTCGGTACGGCGCAGTCTCTTGCTGCTGAACAGTGTGAGTCGATGTGACGGCAATTTGCGCCGGCCGGAATGCGAGTCTTGAGTCTGCTCAGCAGTCACAGTGTCGAAGCCTTGCGTATATTGCAGTGCAGCACCGCCGCCTGCTGGTCTAATAGGGAGCAATGTAGGCGCACTTGGTCCAAATGAGGCTCACGGTAGAGTGGAGCGCCGGGGGGCAACCGCAGACCGGGACCCGGACGCGGACCCAAACCCGGACGCGGACCGCGTTCCAAGTGCGACGGACGAATGGATACCACGTTCTGTCCCTGGGCCGTTCGTTGGATGCGATCCTCTTCAGATACCGTCGCTTGCGATGCTCAAACAAATGGGGAGACAAGCCGGACCTGAGGCGAGGCGAGGCGAGGCGAGGCGATGCGATGCTTGTGCGAGGCCAATGATAGCAAGTGATCGACGTCCTGCACTCTCGAGTCAACGAGTGTTGCTTGCTGTGTCAGACTCCCGTGCGCTGCCTCGAGATGGCTTGTTAGATTGGCGAGGGACAAGTGAGTGGGTCTGCTTGAGGGGAGTGATTAGCTGAACACCTCGCTGGCTGGCTGCGATCACGCATGATGATCGATTGGATTGCAAAGCGAAAAGAAAAAAAGCCACAAAGGACAGCAGCAGTCTCCATCTGCGCAGCCACAGTCGACCCTGAAAGCCGAAAGGAACAGCACAGCATGAGGGATCAGCGTCAAGTCTGCGGCCACGGGTGGTACAGTAGTGCCATCCTTCCTCTCGCTCGGACCCGTCGGCCCGTTGGACGCGTTGCTCTCTTGGAAGCGAAAAGAGGCTGAGCTGAGCTGCCTCCCCCCCCCCAAGCTCGGCTTGCCCAGCAGTGCTCCTTGGCCGTACCTGAGAACGCATGCGGATGGCACGATGCATGCCAGCCAGCCAGCCAGCCAGCCAGCCAGCCACGGAAGTGATTGCTGCCTGCTCCAGCATCCACCAGAACAAATTGCCGAAAGTGGGGTCAAGAGATCGCTAGCGTTCTGCTTCTCCAACGTCAACCAGCCGGCTCACAATGTGAATCACGAGGGATGAGCGTACAAAGAGCCGCGCCAATCCATCCCGTGTACCGTACGGTACCGCAATCACGAACGTGAATGTGGGTCGCGACTCGCGAGCGCAGAACACGCGCAAGCGCAAAAGAAAACACGCTATAGCGTTCCCTTTCCTGCAATTAATCGTGAATCGTGAATCAGGAATGAAGCTGACGCGGCGAATCAGCTAGGGCAGTAGCAAGTAAGCAAATCAGAAACATCTCGACTCTCCTCCATGCATGCACGCTCGACTTTGTTTAGCCCGCTTCCCGGCCGGCAGCCGCCAACTCGCTGCTGGATGGCGCTGCATATATGGCCCGCGGGCGGACAGCGGCGATCGACGGATGCATGGCATATATGGCATGCCTGGCGTTGGCTGACTTACATGCACGCTTGCGCCCCGCCGGTGCCTGCAGGTCGGCGTGCATGACAGGAACATGTGACCAGCAGCGGATCGGAGAACCAACATTGTGATTCAAGATTTGAGTCGTGACGAGTCGGTGGATCGTGATGAAGTGTGAGTGGAACAACTAGCGCAAGCGCAAGCGCAAGCTGAATCAGAGTACGATTAATTGGCCGCAAAGCGTTTGCGCGAGGCGTGTATCGGGAGAGTGAGCAATCGCAATCGCAATCGCAATCGCAATCACGAATCTTGCCTTCGATGAGGGATGATGCGCAGAGCAGGTGCGCAGAGCAGGTGACGCGCTTCGACGATACCATCACGACTTTCATCTTCCTACGTCGCAGCAGCATGAAAGCGGAGTCGGAAGGAGGCTGCGAAGCTATCATGCCGTCAGAAAGCCCCGCGTTCGACAAGCGCTCCCCGCCCCCAGAAATTCTCGCATCGATCACGCGCGCGCGCGCTCTGGGTCTGCCCATCCAGATCCAGTCGAGGATCGTTGCGCTCACTGGTGGACAGTTAGCATGCGATGCGACTACGCCCTGACGCATATGCCATGACTGGCTGAGGCGATGCATGGATGGCATTCGTGGTGGTTGTGATTGCAGGTCTTTTGCTGGGTCGCCTCGGCTTAGCGCAAGCCTTGATGTGCTGTAACAGCAGTCTCTGACGCGCTTTGAAGGCGACCATCCTTGCAGACAATTCGTGACTCCTAGCATCAGACTCCGCAAGTTCTGACTCGTACGCGCACTAAGAAGGCGGGATCCAGAGTACAAGTAGCAAGCTTTCCAAAACATCCACTCATCTCTCAGCCCCCCAGCAGCGCTCACTCTCACTCACCTCTTCTACACAACCAACTTTTTGCCCCGCAACCCCAAAGAGCTGGTCTCTTGCGTTGTCACATTCTCTCTGTACCCTCTACCTCCTTTGCATTCCACCTACAACAGACAATCGCACAGACACACACTCCTCATCATGCATTCCTTCAAGGTCATCGCTCTTCTTCTTCCATGTGCGCTCCTCGCACTCGCTTCTTTTGCCAGCGCCACCTCTACCGTACAGCAGAGCGCTGTAGAGCCGCGCCAAGCTGGAGGAATTGGCAGGGCGGTGGTTCAGATCGGCAAGGTTTTGGCAAGGATCGTGGAAGAGGTGATGAAGGATGTGGAAGCGGACAAGGTCAAGAGAGCAGATCAAGCTAGGGAAACCGTAGATCGCATGGCTCGCGAGTACCCGGATACAAACTTTTTGGCAAGTCATGTGGAGATGGACAACAAGTTTGGAGGTGTGGAGAAGCAGGATTGGGCGCATGATCACTTTGAGGTGGATATCAAGGTGGGAGGAACGATTGGGTTCGAAGTGAGTTCTTGATTGCAGTCTCCTCGCAGCAAACAAATGCGCGCATGAAAAGTCTGTACCTGACTCAAGCAAACGCAATCCACGCCTTGCCTCTCTCGCAGCTCTGGGGCTTCCAGGATGCGGTCATCAAGCGTAAAGGAGACGGCGGTGCGCTCAATTGGGCTTGGACCGGTGTTTTGGAAAAGGATCCGGAGGAGAATGGTTCGCTGCTCACCTTTGCTCGACGCAAGCACTAAGAGGCACCGTTGCCCACGTGGGCCACGCTATGCCACGATGATTGATAGCGCACACGGACTACGCGGTGGTGCTCGATATCATTCAAGTGTGACGCAACGCAATCACAGCACACGAGTGGATGGATCTCTTTCAGCTGCGTGCTTGGCTGCGCGTAACGCGAAGCCAGGATCCAGGACCGTGGATGTCGATATGGCCGGCTCGAGGGCCATCGTAATGATAGACTTTCATCAAAGTGTCCGCCTTGCCCTGATTACGCAGCCCTCGTTGCTTCGCGTGGATTTTTGGAGGGGGGGGGGGGGGGGGGG